TCAACTTTTTGAAGGCCATAGATAGGCCTAAATAAAATGTTTTTAATTGTGTACAAGTTTAACGAATATTATTTATGATTTAAACGTATTTACAAGTTTACTTAAAATACAAGAAATAGATTCACTTCTAGTTAATGAAGCACAAATGAAAGGATGCACAGTAAGTGTTTGAAATCTACATTGACTTGTTCACAGAAATAGTGTCTGGTTAACAGAACATCAGGCTTGTGCTGGAAATAAATTTTAAAACAATATTCTACAGTTGTGTTGCAAATATATTTTTTATAGATAACATTTTAGTAATTTTAGGCCTGTCTGTCCTCCAACAAGTGTCTTTCAACATTTGTCCTCCAACAAGTGTCCTTCAACATTTGTCCTCCAACAAGTGTCCTTCAACGTCTGTCCACCAACACCTGTCCTTCAAAAACTGTTGTGAGTTCCATGAAGCATTTATACATATCATATAAGTTAAAATTTGGTATTTTAAAATGAAGACATCAAAGTTTAGTACAAAGTAGGGTTTGAATGTGTTTCATCCCTAACCCATATCTTATGTTTTAAATTTTAATGTACATTTCTGATTTATGGCCTAAAGCAAACTGCTGTACAATTCTTTGTTTCTATTATTCAATATCTTCAGTGTGATATTAGGATTAAAGAACTTGATATGACAGGACTTAATGGGTAGCTAGCTTGAACTTTGAATGTAAAGTTTCATGTCCCATTCCCCGAAAAAGTAGCTCTACATTTTGGAGCCATGGATTTATATGAAAATATCTGTCTACTGTTCGGACAGACATGAGTAGCTCAAGTAGTTGGTAGTTGGTACATAATCGTTTTCCTTGCTTTTAGTCAGTAAGTTCAAAATAGACGTGGTAACATACAGGCAGCCTTTCGTGTAGTTTAATATGAAATTATGAAATGGAAACGAACATAACTCAACAAAAATAAAAAAATAGCTATGTTTTATCAAGTTAACTTGACATAATAAAATGTAGTTTATGGAGTATTTTTCTCACCCACTCCTTAATTTAAAGTACTAATGCTAAAATTGTTAACTTATATTTAATATAGTCTTCAGGTTTTGGCAATTTTGTTTGACTTATACTCATTCCCCTTTTTAAAAAAAAAGTTCGACGTTCTAGTTTTATGAACACAAAAGTTCATGTGAGGTTTCATCCGTTTCATATTTCCCCAAAATTACATAATCCTGAAAAAAATTAAACATACTTAAGAGTGACATTATTTGTTATATTCTCTAAAAAAATATCGGTGTTCATGATCGATGACGATTGATTTTAGAAGTTATGTGTAAGTTACTTTCCTGTTAGAAGAAGGGAATAATTGAGTTTAATGCGATATATTTACCCTATGAAAGAAGTTATTAAAGATATTTTTCTGGAAGAATATACCACGTTTATTAATATGTAACTGTAGTAATAATCTGTTTTTTTTTACCACACATATTTTTGTAGAAGTAATGAAAACGAAAAAAATACTAATAAATAAGTTCCGTTTAACCACCGCAAAATTTAAACATTGATAATTTCAATTTTTCATAATAGTTTCCCTTTCTGTATGCTAGATGGCAGCACACATAAGTTTTATGTAACGAAAAGTTCTCTATTCCACAAACAAAATATTTGCAACTGGAATTTATGAAAAAATAAAATATAGTAACATCCAAACAATTCGACGTATCAAATGGCTCAAGTCGTTAGGTAGCTTTAAGATCATTTAATATGATATTAGTGCCTGAGTTTACTTAACACTAGTCTTTTTATAGAAGACTAGCGAAAGCACCCGGCTTCGCTCGGGTTATTAGGTTTATGTACTCAAGATGTCTATGTTAGTATGTGTATTTTGAACCCATTTTAGCATACAAATATAACTTATATACTTTTGTTGCTAAGCAATATGACATACAATCCATTGTCGGCGTGCATTTTTACCAAAACGCACTGGCTTTTCTACATATTAGAAGTTGTTTTATAAGTAATTACTTCTTTTCTATGTGGTTTTTCGCTATCTTGCCTCATTTAAAAGATGCGCACGCGCGTGGATAATATGAATAATACGCAGGTGCACACATCTAGGGTCCAATTAATATGGGTGCAAAATTTCAGGTTTCTAGGTTCTTTCCTCTTGGAGCTATGGCAGTTACACAGTTACACGTGCGTGCCTGTCTGTCCGTCAGCGTTTCCTAGTTGTAATATAAGGTACCACTTCTTTTCAATGTGTTTTTTCGCTAGCTTGCCTCATTTAAAATATGCGCACGCGCGTGGATAATATGAATAATACGCAGGTGCACACACCCAGGGTCCAATTAGTAATGGGTGCAAAATTTCAGGTTTCTAGGTTCTTTCCTCTTGGAGCTATGGCAGTTACACAGACACGTATGTGCGCACGCACACACGTGCATGCCTGTCTGTCCATCAGCGTTTTCTAGTTGTAATATAAGGTACCACTTCTTTTCAATGTGTTTTTTCGCTAGCTTGCCTCATTAAAAAGTGCTTGCGCGCACGCACATAGATAAGTAATAATACCCAGGTGCATACCCTCAGCGCCCATTTAGTATGTGTGCAAAATTTCAGTTTTCTAGGTTCATTCCTTTTGGAGTTACGGCGGTTACACACTCACCGACCCACAGACACGCCATTTTATAATTATTAGAGATAAAATAATTATATCAAGGGTTTTTTTTGTTTTGTTTTAGACCTTCAGTGTGTGGTACCAGATTTAATGGCCTAATATCTCTGTTGTGCTTTTAATATTAATTAACGTGATCCTAGCATGTGGTCTGTCGATTGTATGCACGTGCAGTAGGCTGGAGCGAAGTTGGAGAGTGTGGGTTCCGAATTATGTCCTTAATGTCGCTCCAGCAAGAACTGTTTCTTCTTCGCTGGCATTTATTTTCAGTCTAAAGTTAGATTCAATCTACTTCAATCGTTGATAGTTTATTTATATCCCAACAGATGGCAAAAAAAAATCGGATCATCACTATTGCTCACCTTTCTAATAAGTAAAACAGTTGATAATTTATCAATATTTCTCTTATTTTCAAGAAAATTATGTCCAGTTTCAACTTAGTGTTTTTGTTGCACTTTTATATCGTCAAAAATCTTAGTCCTTGACATCAAATACACTTATTTGTGCATCTTTTTATATGAAAATTTAGGTCTAACTTCTGTTCATCATTGTTTTTACTGTTCTTATGCAACAAAAGAATAATGTAACTTGGGTTTTTCAAGATATTTAATGCTTACTTAATTCTTCATGCTTCTATCAAAATTATTTCCATCTTTAATGGTTATTTAATTACGAAGAAAATAAAAAACCTCTTAGGGTTTTCAAAAAATTATTTAATAACACTTCCAAAATTATATTCTTTTTTCAAAGTTTTGCATCATATTTTTAAATAAGTTTTTTCCAGGAAAGATGGACCTCTTTTGGTCTCTTCAAATATGATTTTTTCGATCAAAACTCCTAAGGCATGATAAGTTTTGATGTTCTGTTAAAATTGTGCCAATCATAAATTTTACTTTATTTCTGAAGAAAATATAAATCGGGTTAGGACTTCTAAAAAATTCCCAAATCTTTAAGTTGAATATGTTTCTACCAATTTTCGTCCATCTTAAATATATAAGAGAAAAACAACAAAAAGTATCCGATATAGGCTTTTCAGAAAGGCTTTTTTTTTAAATGAAACTTTTGATCTTGAAGCCTGGAATTTTTGTCATACTTTTGATAGAAACACCAAGGCTTAAACAAAAAAATATTTTTTCAAACCTCAATGAACATTAAAAATTATAGTAAACACAATTTATCAAAATTGTTTTAAACGTGCAAGTATGTGTAGTTTAATCGATAAATATTTAAAATCTCTGACGTTCTAAAATTGTGCCCACCTCCAATATTTTACTTTAATTTTGAAGAAAATATAAACGCTGTTAGAGTCTAAAAACTTTGTATTTTCTGAAAGTCACAATATTTACACCCATTCCTAAAGTTGGTGTCAGA